ACATTTGTCCTTTGGTCATTAATGATGGATAGTTGTCTCATAGACAATCGTAGTTTATCTTTATATGTATCGTATCAAGCTCTTGATATAATTGTCTGTGGGATAGACATTTTTTTTTCATGTCATGGAATAGAAATTCATTTATAATAGTAGTTCCAAACCTCATGGAATGCTATTATTACTGAAAAAAAAATTGCAATCTTTGTTCCTAACGGAATTAAGGGTAATGAAAATTTATTTCGAAAGGAAGATATATCATAGCATGGTTTATTACAAGATTTGCAGAGAAACTTGTATAAAGTGAACGAATATACGTTGACATTTGTTTGAAACAAATATACGTTGACATTTGTTTGAAACAAATATACGTTGACATTTGTTGTTATAGAAAAGCGATTTGTATATATTAGGGCATCAGTAGTTTACCAATGTTCAAATGTCATAAATCGATTAAGAAGACAAATCAAGTTACAAATAAAAACTAAATGAATCCCATTAAAAACAGTGATTACTTATTTTCTATAGTAAAAGAGGATTTGTGGTTAGGTGTACAGAGGTTTCTCTACAGATTACGGTAGAATAATGTTATGAACTTAAATAAAACTATTTATGTCATGTGTTGACGTCACTTACATTGTTATCGCTATTATCTCTTCTTATCAGATTAGGCGATTACCACTGTTTTCTCCTGCTGCATGTTATCAATCTGTTTTGAAATCGCATTATCTGATCATAAACAAAAGTTTGACACATCCGACTCGCAATAAAATTACACAAATAAAATACTTTCATTGAAATCCTTGTGGATAAAAAGAGCTGTCCCTTTATCAGATGTTTAACAGGTGTTTTTGGTCTGCTTGTTCTACTATGAGTTAAGTCGATTACCTCACTAACGTCACTACGGCGGGTGCAAAAAATGCCTGAAATCCTAATGCCTGATATCCGTACCGACATTAAAAGTATTGAAATTGTATCCTAGACATGTAATACGAAACAAATGTAATACTTTAAAGATAGACAAGATTCCTTATGAGAAAAGTATTAGGGTCAATATCCCCTGAATCCCCACTATCCCTTTGTTGCTGATACCACCTCTTTCCAGTGTTTGGGAGGATTAGGCGTTTACTAGCATGTTAAACAGCCACAATTAAGGAATCCAATGGCAGTCGTTGATTGCTGTACTAGGGCAAAAATGCCACACATGTGTCACGCATGTACCTAAAAACGCATGTGTCACAGGTGTGTCACATGCGTGATACACATGTTTCTTGCCACGCATGTGAATCATGCGTGATACACATGCGTTCACATGCGTAATACACGCATGTGAATCGCATGTGTCAGAAAAACACCTGTGTCACGCATGTGTTGGAATACGCATGTGACACATGCGATATTTGCATGTGTAACACATGTATAGTCAAACGCATGTGTTACACAGGAAAATTTTGTTGATGTGAATTCAAGTTAAATTTTTCACGTGAATTTTACGTTAAATTTGTGAAATTCACATGAAAAAAAGTTAATTGTGTCCAAGCAGAAAAAAATTAACATCAAAATTAAAACTTGTTTATTAACATCTAATACCTTGTAAGTTATTTATTCCATTGAAAATCTTATTTTACTTTTAAAAAATTTATTTTCACAGGATACCCCCCTTTTTTTGAATGATCAATGCATTTAAATGGGGAAACATAATTGGAACCCCCCTTTTATCCTGTGTTGGGACCCTCCCCCTTTTAAAAATGGCTGGATCAGCCCCTGATTATCCTTAATTGTCACCATAATAAATGGTATTTTATCCAATCAGCTTAGGAAAATAATCGCAGGAAAAAAAAGGCAAAGTAAATAAAATTGCAATAATTGTCAGATATGGGTCCAGGATCCTGAAAAAAAAGTGACACTAGACTTGTAAAAAGTCTCTCTCTATATATAATTCCTAAAGGGAGTAGGCCAGGGGATTCTGTGAATCATCCCCCTTCCCCCATAAAATGTTCTTCTTATTTGAACAATTAAAAGTTTAATCTTTAAACATTTATTTTAATTAAGATTTTCATTGGTATTTCTTTTAATACATATACATAGGTAAAAGAATTATGCGTTTATATTGGGAGAATTTGGTGTTAGTTGCAGATCTTTTGATCTTCACCACTTTGAAAAAAATGATTTAGAACTTGGAATATCTAGATGTGTTGTGTTGTGTTTTTGTTATTATTGTTTGAATAACTTTCTAAAAGGTGTGTTACAATAATCTTACATCTCTTTTTATTCCTATATGGATATCTGCCAACTATCTTGGACAAAAGACAGACAGATACACCCAGTAGATATATTTAAGTCTTAGGTGCTTCATACAGTTATGGAACTAAATTATACATTTGTATATTTTATTTAGTATTTTCTTATTTGTAACCCTTGTGTTACAAAAATGACTGATTGTATGTAACATTGACATTGGGTTGTACAAGTGTAAATTTAAAAATTACCTGGTTTGGTAGTTCAAACAAACGTGACCAATTAACATTGTCAATACTTGATTGTTGACCATTCTGATTATCTGTCCAAGTACAAAACTATGCTAACAAGATAATACACATGAGCATATAGAAAGTACTTGAAAAGTTTCAGAGTGTTTGGGGTAGTCTGTCATGTTCAATACGGCTCATAAGATAAAGGGGAAAGCAACACTATTATCGTGTTTAAATCACGACAAACAATAGTCACTACATACTTTCGTCCCTTTAATTTTTAGGCTTATACAATGTACAGAATAATATACCATTATAACTTTATCATACATTTCTTCATCTTTGGTGTGGAATAAAAGCAAAGGACATAATTACCTGCTTATATTTTACTTGTGTTTCAAGCAAGCATTTGGTGGGTTGAGAGGGGTTTACTGTAACGGCGGTTATAAACTTACATAGGCGGATCCAGGGGGGCCTGGGGGCCCGGGCCCCCCTTTCGTGGGAAAAATTTGGTTGATTATATAGGGAATCACTGAAGCATGACTGGAGCGGCCCCCCTTAGGTCAGTCAGCGGGCCCCCCTTATGAAAAGTTCTGGATCCGCCACTGACTTACCACCACCCACGTGCCACCACATCAGTGTCCTGCAGGCACTTGCCCGCAGGTGGTGTCAAAAGTTACATGTGCTTGTGTTTTTTCAAAGTTCATAAAATGTGGAACAAATGTCCTCAATTTCTCAATTCTATTTATAAGGGGAACATAAATATCAATGATCAGTGTTGGAGCTGGGACTATTGTATAATAGTCTCCATAATAGTCCCAGGTTGGAGGCATTAATGTCATTAATACCATTGTGAGGGTACTACTGGAAAGAAGTTGTTTAAGAATAGATCAACCAAGGATTTGTTTATTGGATCAACGGTGATAACATTTTAAAACTGTGATACCCAAACAACCTTGGTATGAAATACTGGACAGAAATTCCCAGTAACCGTTGGGCTTAACATTACACAAAAACTAAGGATTGTGCCATTGACGGATCCAGAAATTTTCATAAGGGGGCCCACTGACTGCTAAAGAGGGGGCCTCCCTAGTCATGCATCAGTGATTCCCAATATAATAGATCAAATTTTTCCCACAAAAAGGGGAGGGGCAGGGTGCTCTTAATCCGCCTTTATGTGCAACACGAACCTCCAAAATACATGGGTGAACTCAAGTATTGTGAATGATAAAGTTAGGAACTTTCTGCTCAACATGTGGCAACCTAGGTTTGAGTATACATGTAATTGCCAAATTAAGTAAGTAATACTTTGATTTGATTCGCCATATTGGCAAACATGTGAAGATAAGATCTGGTGAGCTTTTCGTCGAATATCACGAGGAGATAGTGTTAAAAATATTTGCATAGTTCGTGAGTTGAAAATTATAAAACAAAATATATTGTTTAACCTTGGACAAAAAGATCAAGTCCAAAACTGGCTGTTATTTGTGTAGTCTACCTTAATCTTGAAGAGTATGCAATTCTAAATCAAGGAGGCGGTAGGCAATTTCCTAATAATATTACAAAAGAACTTGTCACAGATTCTTAACTAAACGTCTATCAGATTAGTAAAATTTCTAATTCACTGACATCTGTTGGACATAGATACTCAAATTGCAGAATCTTATTAGTAATAAAAAAAATCTGTGTTTTCTGTGACATCATTTTGAAAAATATATGTTTATATTTTATTTATTACACTCTAACTGTCTAACATTTAATTCTCCTCTGATTAGAGTAATTATCGTTTGTCAATTTTCCAAACTTCCCATGCCCCCCTCAGCAGAGTTATTTTATTCTGAATGGAACAAAATGTGAATGAGTTATAAATAATATATAAATGATTGATTATTCTTTATTTAGTTTTTTTTTATTCTCAATTCTTCCAGAGACATGTATATGCTCTGAGAATAATGTCTTTGCATAATTCTTCATAATTAAGTATACTCAATTATTCTCTATGATCCTTCTTTCTATATTTTTGCTTTTCAACTATCTATATATTTTTTTGTGTCCTTATTTAAATCCCCATTCTTGATTCCAGACTAACTCTCATATATATATACGTAAATGTACGAAAGCTTGGCACGTCGAATACGGAAACCCGGAAATCTTTTCACCGTTGCCGTTTTTATACTATGACGCAAAATCCATGGACGCTCGTCTGCTGCTGAATTCATGTTTTACTTTTTAAAAAGAATGGACAAAGATAGTCAGATAGTTGATACAAAGACCTTTGATTTTTCAAACTGATGGATCAAAAAGTTATTATCAACAGATATATTGAAATGGGTTAGTAACTTACATTGTCGATTAACTGAATCCGGGGAACGAAGCAATACATTAGAAAGTCAACGCAACGAAAGTGTTTCGTTTTGATGGATTACGTACCAACTTATTGTACTTGGAAAGCGCAATGAAATGTAAATACTGTTTTCTCCCTTTCAGCTGTACATTGTATTTCAACAAATGGACAGAGGAGTTGACTATTAATAGTGACTGATAATAGACTGGAGTAACCTAGGGTCCAATGACTCCATGCCTGACAGTCCATGTGTACATGTATGTCAACAGCCAATTCTAAGTAACCTTAAACATATATATACAAAAGACCTAAAATAATAGTATTTGCATCTATGGGAGACTTATATGTCACTGTTGTCACAGAGTGTTGTGTGGCTTCATTACTAATTAGAGACTAATCAGATTATCCTTTACTTTAGGTTCAAATATTATGTACATGTACTCAATGATTATGACTTGCCTTCATTAACTTGTAATAATTATGATGCAGGATCCAACAAAAGTATATTTTTTTTACCTACATTTTATGCGTCAGTCTCGCTGATTTTTTAAGTACCTTGTAAATGTATATGGATATATGTATGAATTTAGTTGTAATACTTAGTTTTGAGTCTTGCACATATATACATCATTGTACATTGTCATAGAAGTTAAAATTACTTTGATCGCTGTCAGACAATGACAGAGTGTTTTGAACATTGCTTCATAATGTTGATCAGATTACCTTATTTAATTAATAAAATGTTATTGTCACAGATTGAAATTTTTAGTATTTTATTAATAAGGTCTTACAATGTATGGTAGGATTGTCAATGAGAAAACATTCCATTAGTCAAAGAGGATGTAAAAAAATTTAGGTCACTGTATGACCTTCAACAATGAACAAAACCATACTATATAGTCAGCTGTAAAAGATCCTGACAAAGTGAGCAACAATCCAATCCAGAAAACTAGTGATGTTCCAATTACCATGTGCAGTATTGGTTATAATATAAAAATATCACTTGTTTTCTCTCTCTTTACCAAGGGATAACTGTATTCCTAATTTATTCTTATTGGAAAGCAGACTGCATCAGGTTAAGATTTTATATGATAGTCACAGGAATTTTAATTTTCAGAATTATCTCCTCAGATGTAAGTGGAAGGGAAGCTATATACATTATATGTTTAAATGAAATTAACAACAGGATTAGATATTGAGGAGATCCTATAGCTACAGTATATATAAATGTAACTGGTATGTATTTGTTACAGTATTTAATTTCCAAATGGTATAACAAAAATACTGAATTCCAAGGCAATTTCAAAAAAATCGTAAGGTTCCGCAGAACCCAGTGTCTCGCCTACTTTTGCTGTTAATTGCATCATTTTCTCATCACTTGGCGTCCGTCTTCGTCCTTTAACTTTTACAAAAATCTTCTCTGAAACTATTGGGCCAAATAAAACCAAACTTGGCCTAAATCATCCTTAGGGTATCTAGTTTAAAAAATGTATCCTTTGACCCTGGCCATCAACCAAGATGACCAATATTGCTAAAAATAGAACATGGGGGTAAAATGCAGTTTTTGGCTTCTATCTTTGAAACCAAAGCATTTAGAGCAAATCTGACACGGGGTAAAACTGTTCATCAGGTGAATATCTATCTCTGTTGAATTTTCAGACGCATCAGACAACCCGCTGTTGGGTTGCTGCCCCTGTATTGGTAATTTTAAGAAATTTTTTTTCAATTTTTATACGACCACAAAAAATTATTGGTATCACTTTGTCGTCGTCGTCGCCCAAAGACACTTGGTTTCCGGACAATAACTTTAGTATTAGTAAATAGAAATCTATGAAATTTAAACATAAGGTTTATTACCACAAAAGGAAGGTTGGGATTGATTTTGGGGGTTATGGTTCCAACAGTTTAGGAATTAGGGGCCCAAATAAAATATAAGCATTTTTCTAGTTTCATAACAATAACTTGTGGAACAGTGTATGGATCTCTCTGAAATTATACTACAAGTTTCCATACCACAAAGAGATGGTTAGGATTGGCTTTGGGGGGTTATTGCTCAAACCATTTAGGAATTGGGGGCAAAAAAGTGAGAAAAAACAAGGGTGTCCTGGTTAATGGACAATTACTTAAGTACAAATTACAGTGTAAGGGAGGTAATTCAAATACATCTTGGAAATTTGAATTGAAATTATGACCATAACTGATGGAAAGAATTTTTTTTGGGAAAAAGGGGGGGGGGGGGGACAATTTTTTCTCCTCAAGATTTCAGAAATCAAAATCAAAAAGAAAATCCTTCAATTTTTTTTTTTTTTTGAAAAAAAGGGGGTGGAGGTCAATTCGCAACTGCATAGTGTATTACACATAAGCAAAATTTTGAATATAAATTCAAATCATATAACCAATTCTAAGTTCTTTGACTACAGTTATTCTGTGTCAGAAACCTATTATGTGTCAAATATTGAATTACAATCCAAATTCAGACCTGTATCAAGCGCAAATATTGTGTCCATATTTGCCCAAACTGTTCAGGGTTGGACCTCTGTGGTCATATCCAGCTGCGCTCGGCAAAGCAATTTATTGGTTATTATCTTGAACATTATAATAGAGATAAACTGTAAACAGCAATAATGTTCAGCAAAATAAGATTCACAAATAAGTCAACAGGATCAAAATGGTCAATTGACCCCATAAGGAGTTATTGCACTTTAAAGTCAAATTTAACAATTTTTTCGTAAATTTTTGTAATCTTTTACAAAAGTCTTTTCCTGAAACAACTGAGACAAATTTAACCAAACTTGGCCATAATAAGCATTAGGGTATCTAGTTTAAAAATAGAACATAGGGGGAAAAATGCAGTTTTTGACTTATATCTTTGAAACTAAAGCAAAAGTATATCGGTTGCATTATTTCATGCATCAATTGTAAAATAAAAAAAATATCAGGTGAGCGACACAGGCTCCTTGGAGCTTTTAGTTGGTATTGTAATTTAAATGAGGTTAAGACATGTAAGAAAGGGGCTTGAAAAATGAGGAATTGTGTTTCTACAAGCACTTAGTAATCTAGATCTATAATACTAAAATAACAAGGTCCAATTTGTGAGCCGGCATGACATAAAAATGACGATTCAAAGAATTCAACTTTATTTATAACTTATATATATAGGACAATGGTGTTGATTAAAAATTACACCATTCCAGGCCCATTTGTTTTCCACATAATTATTACTACAGATAATTAACAAGTTCTGGGTCGAAGGGTTCAAAAAGAAAGATTTTGAAAGCAGAGAAAACTGTGCACCTAATGACCAGCATGACATTATTAGATGACAAAACGAAAAATCTTAAAATCCAGGCTAAAAATAAGGCTAAGGTACTTTGCTTCAGTCACGACACCATGATGTCCCGGGAGTATTCTAGTATATATTATATATACAGGTAATGTGTAGTACACATGCATGAATAGAGTTAGTTTTCATTATTACGGTAATTTATGTTGATAAAAATGAGAATATGTAGTATTATTGCCAATGAGACAACTATCCACCAGAGTCCAAATGACTGAATATTAGCAACTATAGATCACTGTATGAACAGCTTTCAACAATGAGCAAAACTGATACTGCATCTAGCAAGCTATAAAAGGTCCTGAAATGACAGATGTAATACAATTCCAATTTATGTAAAAGACATTAAACGAAAAATAAATATGATAAACAACAACTATTATATTCCACTCCAGTTGTTCACACGATATATATATATATATATGTAAGTTTGGTAAATCATTGGAGATTAAATTGATGTTATCATTTTTTGCCTGATTGGTAAGCCAATATTTGATGTATGTTTTACAAAAAATATATGCTGTTTTTGTCTCGCTTGACGGAGTCAAAAAGCGAGGCATAGGTATGCTGTTTCTGGCGTTGGTGACGACAGCGGCGTCAACAATGTATTAGTTTCTGATTAGGTCTAGTTTATAGTGAACCACAAGTAGTAAGTCGAAGATATTTGGTATGCAGTTGTATTAGTATTGGCACATCTCATTACCATGGAGATTATTTGGCCCCGCCCCCTCAGTTATGGTTTATTGACTTAATTTGAAATTCTTGCTTAGTCTTCATGTATTAGTTTGTGATTAGGTCAGTTTATGGAGAACCACTAGTGGTAAGTTAATTATGATTGGTATGCAGTTGTATAAGCATTGGCATATCTCATTTCAATGGAGATTATTTGGCCCCACCCTCTCAGTCATGGTTTATTGACTTTTAAATTTTTGCTTAGTTTTCATGTATTAGTTTGTGACTAGGTCAGTTTATGGGGAACCACTAGTGGTAAGTTCATGATAATTGGTATGCAGTTGAATACGCATTGGCATATCTCATTTCCATGAAGATTATTTGGCCCTGCCCCCTCAGTCATGGTCTATTGACTTTGAAACTTTTGCTTAGTTTTCATGTATTAGTTTGTGATTAGGTCGGCTTATGGGAAACCACTAGTGGTAAGTCAATGATATTTGGTATGCAGTTGTATTAGCATTGGCACATCTCATTACCATGAAGATTATTTGCCCCCCCCCCCTCAGTTATCGTTTATTGACTTTAAAATTTTCTTAGTTTACATGTATTAGTTTGTGTTTAGGTTTTTTAAAGGGAACTACTTATGATAAGTCAATGGTATTTGGTATGCGTTGTATTAGCATTGGCACATCTACTTTCCATGGAGATTGTTTAGCCATGTACCTTTAGTCATGGTTCATTGACTTTGAATATTTGCAAATCTTACATGTTAAAGTGTTGCTATTTTAATTTCAACATTTGCATTATCGAAATTACTAAAAAGCGAGACATATCTCTGTGATTACAGTTTATTTTTTTTATTACAGCAACTGTATTCCAAGAGTCTGATGGCTGATAATGTATTACAGGATTTTATCATTCAAGCAACATCTTAGAAGGATAAGTGCAAATGTATGAAGGAAGCCTTGGGTACAAATAGCAATTCCAGCAATTACATGCAGGAGAGAACTCTTAAACATTACTAACAGACATGTAGTCATTATATGGGAGTGGTGTATTTAAGAAATCTAAAACACATGAAATTAAATATTGTGTATATTATTTCAACCACAAGTACTCTCAGAATATAATACAATTCAAATTCAAATTATTGTGTCAACATGACAATTATAGTCTAAAAATGGAAAATGCATGTTTATACTGAATTTTATATAAATATTTGAAATAACAAGAATTTTTAGTCTATTGTGCAGCCAAACTTTGAGATCTTCTAATGGTATATGCCTGTTGTTTGTCAACATTTGTTTTCGTTTTGCCTTAACCTTATTAAGATTGGTGTTGAAATGAAAAAAACTGAAATACATATATGAAATAAGAAGGAAATGGTTGTAAATAACAGCAAGACTTTCAATATGGTATATGTCATGATCTACTTAATTAACCAGAGTCTATACCAATCAAAGAGCTTCCATCAACACCAAATTCTTTAAATATTTTTTTTTATTAGGATGAGACTTTAGACAACCACTGAAAAGGTTCCTGGCTTGAAACAGGCACATGAATATGTGGCAGGGTGAACTACTTTTTTTCCTAAAAACTTTCAAAAGAAAAATTGGCATCTTTTGCAAGTGAGACAATTTCCACAATGTGATTGCATTGTCTCATCACTGATAACCACAAAATGACTTGTACAAACATATTAAAAATGAAATACACATCAGTGCATACATATTCTATAAATGAATCACCAATCCTTACATCACTTTTAAAAAAAGTATTGAGACTTGACCATAACCGAAAAAATTCTAGGAGTGAACTAAGGTGACCTGGATATTTGCTTGCCTTCTTTGTTTTATTGCATCCTATCTCTTGCATTGGAGATATTGTGAGTTGGGAGTTGATAGATAAATATTTTTTGTATTGTTTAGGATCAAGAAAGTAAAATATAATGGAAGTATGAACACATAGTCAAGACCAAGAAGAATATTTATATATATCAAAATAGAACGTGTACTAGATTAGCATTAACTTATCTAAAATATGCTCAAATACTGTGAATTTGTGTGATTGATGCTCAATTCACCTTAATTTCGTTTTAGAAAAATTAACATGAAAGCTTGATTCACGTTAGCTTCACATGAAACATTTAACATGAATTTCACCTTAAAGCTCAATTCACATTAATTGCACATGGGTTTCATGTATAAGCTTGTTTGAGGTGATTCTCACAAGAAATTTACTAGCACAAAATTTGCCTGTGTATATATATAGAAAACACATGTATAACGCATGTGTTACAAAACGCATGTAATTCACTTGAGAACTAAGATACATGTCAACAATCATGGTAATTGGACTAATAGGAGGACATTTTGAAAAATATTTAATACAGGCACCATGCCTTTTAAATGCAGTAATCACGCATGTATCACAGGTGTATTTCCTTACGCATGTTATTCACATGTGAAACGCATGATCACATGTGTGTATCATGCGTATCACATGTGTTTTCCACACATGTATCACATGCGTGGCATGAAACGTCTCTTTCACATGCGTGTGACACACATGTGAAACGCATGTGTCACGCATGTACACATGTGTGGCATTTTTGCCAGTGTATGTAATGATTGTTTTTCGTTTGTAATTGATTTAGTATAAATTAGGCCATTATTTGTTTTAATTGTTTCACATTATGTTATTCCGGGTCCGTTTATAGCTTACAATATTATGTGTGGTTTTCTAAATATTGAAGGCCAAACAATAACCTGTAACAGATTTTTGCCCTTTGGTCATTAATAGGATGCTATCTCATTGGCAATCGTACCATAATTCTTATCTTTACACGTATAGTATTTAGCTCTTGATATGATTGTCTTTGCTAGACATAGTGCGGTTTGTGCGGTTTATAATTTAGTTCCTAAGTGAAGAAATATTCTTGAATACATTTCACAGTATTAGTTTTGTTCTTTACGAAATAAAAAGTATAGAATATGTGTTCCAACAGGAACAGGTATTCTCTAATTTTTGCACTATTTTCCCATTTCCCAACCAATTGTGAAAAAATTGTTTTCTTCACTAGTGAAATAACTGTTCTCTGCAAATGATTAGTCGAAATTTAATTATGTTGTCAAATTTTTTTGTTTTTTTTCTGAAATTCCTATTGTGACGTCATGAAAAAAGGCGACCATACTGTTTAATATACTTAATAAGGTTGCATTTCGAATTCATGGATCTAAGCTGAAAGATGTGTGATAAGCAAAATCATAGAAAGTGTTATAATATGAAGCTTAGAAGATGTGGTATGATTACAAATGAGACAACTATACACTATTGGCCAAATGACGTATAAGTGAACAACTATACACTATTGGCCAAATGACGTATAAGTTAACAACTATACACTATTGGCCAAATGACGTATAAGTGAACAACTATACACTATTGGCCAAATGACGTATAAGTTAACAACTATACACTATTGGCCAAATGACGTATAAGTGAACAACGTGTATTGGTTAGACTGTAGAAACCTTTTACTGATATTTCATCACCTACATTACAACCTGTATAATACGTGTTTTATATTCTTAATAGAAGGATTTGTCTAAATTAAAAGATTCAATGGTTGCCGTTCAGTTTTTTTTTTATCTTTTTTTTTTGTAAAAGTGTAGGTCTTCAAAAATATGTACATGAAAATGTAAGTGATACATTGTGGAGGAATCATTATTTACCTCTATAATTCAGGAGTCATCATTTACTTCTATGATATAGGCAGATTAACATTAATGGGATATCAGACTTAATGAATATCATAGATTACTACCTAAACATTGGTTTTTCCTACATGTACACCATCTCCTTATTTATAGATATATATTAGAAACTAATATATCAGGGAAAATATATGTACGAAAACAAATGAAAGAATTAATTACTTATATGAATGAAAAATGTAACGTTTATTGTTGCTTATACAAGAACAATAAGTATGAAGTTACACAACAAATTACAAAGTAAGCCATTATCTTACTATGCCACAACGCTCCACGGAACTTATCGTATTCATTTTCATTTTAAAACGAATACAAAAATGTCTTTCTTTCTTTGAGGACATAACCAGTATTTTAATTTAACATTTACAAGGTATCATGAAATATCATTACTATCAGAAAATCAATGTAATTACCGTTTAAATTCCTTATAATTAGAAAAATGAGCTTCTTCATGTTATAGCTTACATCACTGCTATTATCATGATTATACTATGAATTTAGATATCAAAATAGTTCCTGCAAAAGAGAGGCGAAAGACCAAAAGGACATTCAAACTCATCAATCGAAAATAAATAACAACGCCATGACAGACAATAGGAACATATCCGGCGTCATCTGTGAAACAGATATTCCATAAACAGCCAACCAACTATCTTTATTAAGTAAATATAATTTTATAAATAAAAAAAGATACACAGAATGTGTCATGTAAATAAGCATGTCAGTGCGGATCCTACTCTCCATCGGGATTCGTATTGCTTAATGTTTTTTTTTTTTTTTAAATTCATTCGATTGAATGTTATCTATTGGTCCTTTTCCTTGATATTGTTAATTGTTCAGCTTTTATTTAATCTTTACATAACACCCGATGAGCATGTATACGTCATGTCAATATTTATTCAAATATAAAAGTTAAGAACACATAAGCTTACAAACTATCTGAAACCTGAATGAATGGTTTTAGACTAAGAATGATTAAAAGTCCTGAATTGTATGTTTCAGTCTGAAGAATCAGGCGAGGTTAACACCATAAAGTGAAACGTTTTTGTGCGTTTTATGGCGATATTTGAAAGCAACTGGTTTGTTCCAATACTACAATGGTTGCAATACATCGAACTATTAATATTTGTTTGTCATACAAATAAACAAAATCGAGGCATTGTATCTTTCCGACATTTATACTAGGTGCAAGGACATCAAAATAGAAATTCTCAAATCTAAAATAGAAAAAGCAATTTAATCGTTGTTTTTATTGATTGTTTTAAAAATACGGAGTTCTTACGGGTAACCAGCATATCTATTTAGTTGGGTTAAAACAGTAAAATTTCATTTCTGTCATACATAGGATGAAAATAATAACATAGGATATTTATGTACAGAATCGTCTACCAAATCTGTATAAACCAGTATGAACATCTGCGAGACACGTACATCTGAATATCAATATATATATATAATGCTAAAATGTTTGAAAGTTTCATCACATAAAAATATGCCACCTGATATCAAAGAATTTACAAATATGTATTGACAGTTGTCACGTGACAGTTGTAATCCTAAATCATACAACTGTCGTAATAGCGAAGACGACACGACAAGCATTGATCATAATTTACAAAACATAATATATAAATGCAATTGGAATAATAAATCATATCTAAAACGAGAGAAGTTAGAAAGACTATATAATTCTTAGTTCGCTAGTACCGATCACACTTCTAATTGTTTGTCTGAAGGTAAGTTGTGTCTATTATAGGTGTAGAACCACTAATTCGGGCACGGTTAGAAAGAACATATACGAAACTGGTACATATTTTAAACAAAATAGGTTATACGATTAGCTGTTTCTTTGTAAATAAGTACAGCACTTGGGTAATTTTGGTTTCAAATGAAGACTTAAATATTTGGAATGACTATAGAACCCTTGTTGAAACTCTTTTTAATAGTTAGACATCTTTTATCAAATTGAAATAGAATGACATATCTTGCTTGTTCCTTGATCAGAAGTACATGTTATAATGTGTTACAAAACTTTAGGAACCAGTCCACTCGTAAATGCAGTTAGAGGTAAGTTCTAGGAACCAGTCCACTCGTAAATGTAGTTAGAGGTAAATTCTAGGAACCAGTCCACTCGTAAATGCAGTTAGAGGTAAATTCCAGGAACCAGTCAACTCGAAAATGCAGTTAGATTTAAATTCCAGGAACCAGTACCCTCGTAAATGCAGTTAGAGGTAAATTCTAAGTCCACTCGTAAATGCAGTTAGAGGTAAATTCTATTTTTCAGCACAGGCAATGATAAGTTACAGTTTTTACATGAAATGACTGTCACTTTATTTAAACTTGAAGACACAATAGTTATGAATGATTGAAATTTCAGAGCTTAATATAGAAAGCAATGGGGACTATGAATTAGTGGTTTTGTTTCTTTTTATAAGAAAGACAAATATAATAGACAGCAATCATCCACTTTGACAAAAGTAATTTGATTGAAGCAAACCTGTCCTGTTGTGATCAAAAGAAAACGTCAGTTATATATTACTTGCAGATAGATATGCTTTTTAAGATAAATAAATCATATTATGAACTGACTGTTCTAATTATAACATATTTGTTCGTATTCCATTAACACAGTATTGGATATTCCTTACATGACCACAACTTCTAATAAGTATTTCATAAATGTCTATATACTAGTATACATTATGTTTACCACATCTTAGTTTGAGGCCTCTTTTGAACATTTGATGGTCTATATCATGTATTGGCTACAAACTCCGTCAAATATTATTTAAATCTCGACTTCTAATAAGTGTTCTGTCAACACTGAGTGTTTGGGTTTGAATCCTGCACATTGCAAGGTCATTAAGATTGACAGTTTTCCTGTTG